CAATCTGCGGGCAGACAATGGGCGGAGTCAGAGCCTAGCGCTTGGAAGGTGTTAGGTTCCTCCAGGACGCTTAATTACTTGCTCCAGGGAGAAGCGGCGAGGCTTTGGGAACTCCTGCGCACCCTCTACCTTACGCGACCTTGTAATTTGCACTCGACCACTATACGGAAATGGAAATTCAAATTACCTAAACTGTAAGTGCCTCTTAGTAAGTGTAGAAACGTGTGCAAACAGGATAGCACTGCAACGCTATTTACTTGGAGCACGTAGATTCCCGAACTCCATACGAATTCCCTTCTGCTTTTTTCGAGAACGATTCCAAGCTTGCCCTCCGAAAATCAATAGAGGCCTGTATAGTAGGTACAAGCAACCCCCACAAAATAAATATCTTACTGAAGAATCCCATAAGTTCTTTATCTCTCTCATTTTAGTCCAGGAACTTCATTATGCACTGAAACCTGTATACATTCTCGTCATTAACGAGGAAGTAGAAAACCCACTAAATCCAGCAAGACGGGTCCACACTGATTGACTAGCACTGTTAAGCGCTAACTGGCTGGCCAACACTTTCCTAAAGTCGACAAAGGTCAAAAGAGGTCAGTTTGGTAGACCTGAGTAATCTTCATACAATATGGATTTGTTCTAAACAGCTTCTGCGCAAAACAATCTGTTTTTCAGAACAGTTTTAACCCACGAATGAGAGTGATTAGTGGAGGCTTGTAAAGCACGATGGGCTTGGACGATGACCTTGAGAATCCTTGTGTCCTCCTTATGGAGTGAGGGGATTTGGGTGGTACCCTATAATCGGAGATGGTATATTTTGAAGTTAGTATGTTCAATTTTCAGAGGTAAAGAAATCTTGTTGGCATAATTTTCCTTCCGCAAATTTGATCCAGTGTTGTGGCTATGGACCCTGTTATATCAAAAACGAAGGGCTCCCATTGAGAACTCTGAGATGACAGATTTTCTGGCAATGCTTTATAACTGGCTAGCTTAGGGCAACGCTACCATACTTTCTTTGTTTTCACCGCATTGTAATGGCAAAGTTAATTCAACACCTTATCAAGCAGTACTTTACTTTCCTAGTTTACTTCAGAATCTGCTAAGGTTTTCTAAGACCAAATAGAAAGCAGTACCTACCTTTTTCTTGCGTTATGGCATCGCTTTTCAATTTGTCACTGCTCCTACCTACCTTAGTGGAGTTCTGCAGACTCCTTAACACACATTCAGAAGGCCGTCTTCTCCCACGGCTATCTTTGCGGCCCCAATTGTGACACGTATCCCAGCAACTTAGGTGATAGTTTTTTTAGTGGGATTAGTAAGGCTTACGTAGGAGTTGATGGCAGAGAAGGATGCAATTATCTTTGCCCTTATTTGGGAATTGTGGCACTTTCACCACAGATTTCCAGTCATCTGAGAAGTCAGGGAGCGGTCATAGTTTTTTCTTGGGTCCTTTCGATGTGCTATTCGCAAGTGGACAACACACAATTTTTCCCTATTTATTTTGCTTAACATGGGTTTCTTTTTGCTGATCGGAACCTTGCGCGAAGAAAGTCGTGTTCGGAACCCTATGGAGAACGGTATCACTGAATTTTCTAGTAGAAACGGGCTCCGCTTGCTAAGAATGTGGCCGAATTTCACATGAGACTCACTGATGGTGACTTTCTCTTCGGCCACTTCCTTTTAATGCAGTTAAATTATAAGATGGCATCAAGAAATGCTAATGATTCCCTCTATCTGTCTTGAAAAGCAGAATTTTTTCTCCTGGAGTAGAGTAAGCCGTAACCGGAAGAAGCGGCAGCCCTTTGAAGAAAGTCCCATTTTTAATCATTAATAGATCTGCTTACAGAACTGTTTGAATAAATATTGAGAGCAAGTGCAGTTCATTCCCTTTTTTTGCAAACGAAATTGCTAATTCTTAGATGAATATGGTTGGAGTGATATCACAGTGCGTACTGATTAATTGCGTTATTTAATCATCTATTAGGCAAGCGCTCTGTAATCCTCAGAAAGACGCGTTTGAGCAGCCTTAGGGAGTATTTAAGACTTGCTAGCGCTTGAATCATCTTTCGTACGTTACAGTATCAACTATCTCTATTTTGTCTTTATTCTCAATAATTGACGTTAGTATCACATACAAATGAACATCGCGAAACATGAATTAATCACAGTGCCACGTCTAGCGAAATTCATATATATACGACGGTCAAAACTAGCACATTTAAGCGCGTCAGAATTCTTCTATTAGTGACTGCCGCTCAGAAGCTAAATTTGTGATGATGCAATGTAAGTGCAGAATTTGTCTCTGATATTGTAGCGAAGTTATCACAATAGCATAGATATCTCGTAGTTGTGACTTTTGATATGTTTTACGCTGTCAGCGAAGAGCGTATCTGTCTTCTCCACCATGTTTATCAGCAGGATCTGTCGCTTCGGCGTGTCGGCTACGAGTTCTGGTTGTAGCGATCCCGGTCCGAGAGCAGCGAAAACAAGAGGGTGAAAGTGCGGCAGCCTGACCTGATTCGTCGCTGTTCTGTAGAGAAAAAAGGCGGTTTACGCGCTATTCATATAAATAGTCAAGTGTTGATGATATCTAATCCATCTGAACTTCTTTCCCTCTTAGCCATCTCCACTTTCAGCGTCTTAGACGATTTCATACGATAACATTGGTTCACAGGGTGTCATCTCGTTGCGAGCTTTGTTCAGATTTCACTTTTCAACGCTAATCGCTAAAGAATGCAAGAGTTAGGTTCACCGCCTTCAAGGTTTCTCGAAGGGCGCGTGAACTATTCCAGTTGCCGGATGAATAGGACAGCGATCTTCTTAGTCTTCGATGCCTCATTGCTTCTGCTCTGAATATGATTGTGCAATCACTCCTCTTCTGTATCTTCATATATGCAAATGTTCGTCCAACTAGCGAATTCCTGAGAGTCTACTTTATATCCGTTAAAACTACTTCTACCTTTTTTGCCAAGTTGTGGTAAAATTCCTACAATTATAAGTGTTCGATGTATAGCGTACAAGTTGAGGTCTACCTAACCGTTGCGGTTTCATGGCAAGAACGCAAGAATATTATACTAACTTTCTAGTCTATACATATTGAGCACTATATGTGGTATTCTATAGTTTGTAAATCATTTGCAGATAGTACAGTCGCTTACAAGCTACGGTTGGTCTGAGTATCGTTCTTCTTTAATCTCACTGATGATGACTGAAAAATACATTAATATTGATTTGCTTTCAAAACATTATTTCTACTTTGCCTCTTGTCGATTTGTTTTACTATCATAAAGACAATTATGTACTGCTAGCTGAAAAGAAGTGGATTTGGAGAGTTGAAATCTTTGAAATTTTGATAGTGATACTAGCTGCTTCAGTAGAAAACATGAAGCTTAGATAACTTACTGTATACTGTGAACAAGAAATGTTTAGATGTGATTTTCAAATAGGTACGCGTAAGCAAGCATCTTCATTAAGGCTGATCAAATTTCACGGATCTATGCTTCAGATGCACCCTCTGATAATTCTGTTGTCGGTGGGCTTCGTGGCCGCTATTCCCGTCGACAACGGCGTGGAAGGGGAGCCAGAGATTGAATGCGGGCCTACTTCCATCACAGTCAACTTCAACACTAGGAATCCCTTCGAAGGCCATGTATATGTGAAGGGGTTGTATGATCAAGCCGGCTGCAGGAGTGACGATGGAGGACGTCAAGTGGCTGGTATCGAACTGCCTTTTGATCAGTGTAACACTGCTCGTACCAGGTCTGTCGTCTATAGAAACTATACATACGGTCCTCAACCTGCTATCGTTTTCCTGCAGGTCGCTCAATCCTCGCGGAGTGTTCGTTTCGACTACGGTGGTGATCTCGTTCCATCCTCAATTTGTGACTAAAGTCGACAGAGCGTATAGGATACAGTGCTTCTACATGGAAGCCGACAAGACCGTCAGTACACAGATCGAAGTATCTGAATTGACCACCGCATTCCAAACACAAGTGGTGCCTATGCCTATCTGTAGATATGAAATTCTTGACGGAGGACCAACTGGAGCACCCATCCACTTCGCTACTATTGGTCAACAGGTAGCTCATTAGTTTTCTCAACAGAACTCAGCTGAACATGCCGTTATAAGCGCGTTTAGGTGTACCATAGATGGACTTGCGACTCCGAAACCACCGATACCTTTTGTGCTGTTGTACACTCGTGCACCGTCGACGATGGTAATGGCGATACCGTACAAATTCTTAACGAAGAAGGTTGTGCACTCGACAAATTTTTGCTGAACAATTTGGAGTACCCCACGGATCTGATGGCCGGGCAAGAGGCTCACGTATACAAATATGCGGACAGGTTTGCTGGATTTTGAAGGATTTGGGATCAGTTATTCTGCAACCATTAAAATCGGCAAATCAACACTGGTTTTGCCCTAAAGACATTTAAGTGTAGATAATGTGACGTATAAGTTCGAGAAGCATAAGCTTCAAATGAACCTATGCCAAAATATCTACGTCAAATTCACATAATTTCGTCTTCTCATTTTTTCCCAAGATCGTTCTTTCTTTTTTCTTTTGCATTTTCTTCGACTCTTTGGCTGTAAAAAAGCTGATTTTGTCTTTTCTCGACGTTAAAATTTTTAGTGTCGAGAAAAGACATAAGAATTTGCTCTTCTTGTTTCTCATACTTGATTCATTAAATTCCTTCCCATTATTTAAGTCTTCTGATAAAGACTGCAGCATCTCTGTCCCTTGAGAAAAAATCATATGAAAGTTCCTCATTTAGAACTCTTCAGCATGCATCTAATTGCGTCTATCCGCTTGAAAAGAAAAAAAAAATTTATGGCGCTTTTTTGCTATTATTTTTCATTGCCTTTCAAATTCCATAACAATAAATAACTAATTCGAAAAGCGACCATAGTTTGTAGAGTAAACGCTTTGGATGAAAGTGAATCTTGAACTTTGTAACAAGATCGATTCAATGTAAGATAATGGGTCCACTTTCGATTAGATGGGATCACCTCTAGGTTCAACATGAAGTCTGCGCAGTGAACAGATACAGGCTAGCGATTCTGATATTTCAATGAACATTGAAAAGAAGTACCTTATAATTAACTTTCCCACATCAAAAACATTAAGAAAGGTTATTTATTGCTCACTACTTTCTCCTATAGCTAAAATAATCTTTCATACTCTTTCAAAAA